CTGCTAATTAGTAGAAAATCGCTGGAATTCCAAGGCGTTATGCTGCTAATTAGTAGAAGACTGCTGGAATTATATATATATATATATTTTATTAAAAAATACCGTTGACTACACAAATTAAAATATATGACATATATAAAAATGATTGTTATTACGCAAACTATATATATAACCTTTTAAAAAATCTCAAAATCTATGCAAATAAAATTTTATGACTTTTGGAAATTTTACTAATATGGTTAAGCAAACTTACATGTGACCTTTATATGTATTTTTCGGGGTCCTATTAATATATTATATACTATATATCACAGGTTATAGTATTTTAAGTATTTTGTGAATTTTGAAGATTTGATCTAGTATTACATGAATTTTTACTACTAATTAAGAATATTTAAAACTTAGGTATTATTACACATTTCATTTAAGATATTTGTTAGATTATTTAAATAATAAAATCAATAAAAAATGTAACTTTTTTTTTGAAAAATACTATATATAAGAGTAATGATGAGTTTTGGACATAATTTTTAAGTTTGAATATAAAAGAATTAAAATTGCTACGAATCACCGGTGGTGATCATCACCAGTGTCACGTGATTTTTAAAAATTTGGCCGGAATTAAGTGATCTACATAAAAAAATTCCTTTTTTGGAATCTTGTGTAATGCATTTCTCATTTTTTATGAGAAACAAAATTGCCTTTTTGTATTGTGTAATGTTACTCAAACTCCATAAAAGGAAATTTATATGTCAATTCCTTAATTCTGGCCAAATTTTATAAAATCACGTGATACCGGTGATGATCACTGCCGGTGATAAATAGCAAACTCCTAAAAGAATTATCCAAAAACTTATTCAAAATTATCCAAAATTGTCCAATTGCCCAATATTGCTGATAAAAGAGTATTATAAAATATTATAGCTTGTAATATATGGTAATTATAATTTTACAGTTAAATTTAAAAATTTATTTATAATAAAAATAATAAATATAATAAAATTTTATTATATTAAACTATATTATTATATATTCTTATAGGATCACACTGTATTTTTTTTACATTTATTGAATAGCTTTATTGATAATATATATAATAAATGAATACTGTTTAAATCATTACAAATACATAATAAAATTAATAAAATTAGATTTTTATACAAATAGACTATAAATTAATTCGTGACTGATTTAATAGTGTGATCGTGAGAATCTATATAATAAAACACTTATTGTATAGGTCTTTAGGCAATACTTTGCTGTTTTCGATCTCAACCATTTGATTAGTCATATTGTACCACTTTGTGGCACAATCTGAGCCAATCAAATGACTTCAATTGAAAACAGCACGTTACTACTTAAATATTATACAATAAGTATATATTATTATATATCCTTATAGGATCATACTGTATTTTTTTTACATTTATTGAATAGCTTTATTGATGATATATATAATAAATGAATACTGTTTAAATCATTACAAATACAAAAAAAAGGGTTGATCACCCTTGACTCATTGGTTAGTCTGTGAGTCCCCTCGTGAAGCCTGAGTATGGTGAGGTCGCAGGTTCGATTCCGCTGATCATGGAAATTAAAAGAATTCATATCCGCTGATCTGTGGAATGGAAGGAATGCACCATATATATGGTCATCTAATGACGATCAGTACCAGGTTTATAATTTGGAAAATTAAACACGTAAACCATATAAATAAACCCGTGAACCATATAAATAAACACGTGAAGATTATCACTAATAATTGAAAAAAATCTTATTTTCAACAATGGAAATAATGTCCGATAGAGAAAATATTACTGACCAAGAAAATATTGACGAATTTCAAATTGAAGAAGTTTCCACTTATCCAATAAACAATAATATTTTGTATCGTGAACGTGTAAATAAAGTCACTAAACGTAGCTTCAACTATGTAATTATAAAAGAAGGTGTTTATCCTAATGGAACTCAAACTGGACCAAAGAGTCTACAAGATTCAGTAATTTGTAGTAGTACCAGCAACAACAAATGAAAAAAAAGACCAGTTCAACAATATAAGATTCCACATGGTTATATTGTAGAAACAACTTGGGGACGTGCATCCAAAAAGAAGACTATTCGTTGTGAAATTGATTATATTAATGAAATACCACAATTTCATATTAAATATGGCTCCAACTTTCAATATGTTGTTTTTTCGAGCAAATCTCCATCTGATGAAGCATATAATTATGAGAGAGTATGTACTATATAAATTTTTTACTATATAATACTAATTATTAATTAATTGCAGGTATTATTCCTTGCATTTTTCAGGCTTTAAAACCAGAAACAAAAGCTACTCTTTCAGGTCCTCTTGTGTTTGGATTACAATTAAAAAGTGTAAAAAAAGCACGTGAATCCAGGAAAAGAGGCAATTTAATTAAACCAGCCATCAATTGTACTTCATCAACGCTTGAAAAACGTGCAAAAAAAATTGCATCAAAAGTGCGGGCTAGTTTTAATAATGATATCAAAGGAGTTTATCACCAATCTGACGAAATTGTATTAAAATCAGTTGAATTTTCAGTTAATAAACTGGATTTTCAATTAGATTACGAAGAAGGTGAAAATCAAATGGAAAAGGGTCATCAACTTCAATCTATAGTGAAAACTATAGATCAAGGACAAATACCAAGAGATTCTTATCGAGATTTAGCTGCTGCAGAGCATCATTTACCACGTGAAAATACTGTTTCTAATGAGCGAATTGCAATTACCAAACATATGAATAAAATAATTAAATTTTCGTTGGTGAATATGAAAGATAAAAATGAATTAAATAATATTACATCTCAAGAACCAGATATTACGAACCCTGAGATTGTACAAGAAGTTATTAATACTATGGGATTAGGAATTCGTCGTAGTGCAAAAGATATTTTGGTCTATATAATTCCTCAATTGCAAAAACAGCAGATCTTAAAATCATCAGATCCAATTATACATCTGCGTGTTTCTGGAGATGGTAGAAACGTTGGACGGAAGATCAAACATGTCATGGTGACATTTATGATTTTAAACCATGAAAATCGACATCACCATGCAGATTATCATTACACTGTAGCGTTATATCCTAGTACTGAAAAATACGATACGCTTAAATTTATGTTAAGTCTCTTTATTAATGAACTAAAATCATTCAAAGAAAATGGGTTAGAAGTCTCAGGAATTTTGTGGAAATTTGAACTATACTTCAGTTCCGATTGGAAATTTTTGGCTATTTGTCTTGGATTAAATGGCCATACTGCAAACTATTTTTGCCCCTGGTGCTGTTGTTCAAAGAATCAAATTGGAGATTTGAATAAAAATTGGTGTATTGAAAAAAGTATAGATCAACTTATAACAAACTATAATGAAATCAACAGACATATTAATCCTCCTATCTTTAGTATAATTCCAATAGAAAACATAATCTTTGATGAATTACATGCTCTCTTACGAATTACTGATAGACTCTGGGAATTGATGCTTGCAGAAATCCAAGAAAATGGTTTGTTTAATGATCTGACACGAAGTGTTATTTTGGGTGAAATGCAAAGATTAAAAGTGTCTTTTCACTTCTGGGAAGATGAAAAATCTCACATTTGGAAATATACATCTCTTATGGGAGATGACAAAAAAACTGTTTTGCAGTTTTTTAATTTAAAATTACTCTTCAAACCTTCTCGTGCAGAATTAATTCGTAAGCTTTGGGATGGATTTTATGAATTGTATTGTGCCCTCCGAAATAAAAATACAGATCCAGCACAATTAAAGCAGCAATCTCTTGAGTGGTTATCTCTGTTTCTCACTCCATCACAAGGAAATCCTTCTCGTCCAAAAACATATGTTCGAGGATTATATATGCCAAATCAGATAACCCCTTATATGCATGCATTGGTTTATCACGGGTGGGAACTTTTAGAAAAGCATAAAAGATGGGGTTTTAAAGCATTTTCTTGTTCTGCTGTTGAGAAAAAGAACCATAATCAAGTCTCTACTTTTTTTCGTAAAACACTCAAAAATGGTGGTGATTTGCTTAAACGAAAATCCGCAATACAGAAGATAATAGAATATGAAAATAGATCACTTTATTTTAATTACAATGTATTATTC